AGTGGATTCCCTTCAAAAAACTTAAATTTAATGATAAAGTTAATTAAAATTCCAACACCAGGACCACAGAGCATTAAACCCCAGGCATGAGGCCCTGCTGAGCTCGGGCCCTGTACAGCTCACATACCTTGTCTCATCCTTCAGTCTCAGGTTACACACCTGCCCTTTGGGGAGTATTCCTGGCCCCAACGCTAACTCCGGTTCTCTTCTAGTGGGGCGTCAGTGTCCTCAGCCTCACCCATGGCCCAGTTCATCTTAACTACCTGTTTAATTGGCTTAATAGTAGTGACTCATTGATTCGATTTATTTAATTAAGCTCTACAAAGATGGAAACTATGTGTATTTGGTTCATATTTATATCTCCAGTATGTACCATGGATATAACAGGTACTAAATACATATTGGTAACATGAATGAGAAAGTTAATGCAAAGGCTGGGGATTTAGCGCAGTGATTCCACTGCCTGCCTCACAAGTGCAAGGTTCCAAGTTTGATCCCCAGTACCAAAAAAATAAAAAAGAAGAAGAAGAAGAAAGTTAATGTGAAATTGGCCCTTAGCCTTGTTTCTTAAAAATAATGGGATATGGGCCCAGGATTTAGCTCAGTGGTTTTGCCACCTGCTGTGCAAGCGCAAGGATCCGAGTTTGATCCACTGTACAAAAAATATAATAATAATAATAATAATGGGATATTTTGATAACTGGAAAGTCCCCAGCCTTTCTCAGATGCCTACCAAGTAGCCTATAGGCTAAGGAAGAGATAAATCTTTCATCTCCCTTCCTCCTGCTCTGTCCCCTCTCATTTCCCTCTTGCAGGGTGTCATGAAGATGAACCTATAGTTGACAAGAGGAAGTGAGGAGGCCTCAGGGAGAAACTGGTCGCTCTCTCTGGACCTCACAATGAAGGGGTCAGAGTCCTTCCCTGTTAGTTAATATCTCTGACCTGCTGGGTCATGTCTGCTGATTTGGAAAGGTTTCTGGTCAGCCTTCCCTCTACCAGGGAGCTCACCATCCTGTCTGCTCGGGTGATCGGCTACACCTAACTCTTGGTGCTGCAGTTCTTGTCCAGACTCAGGAAAAGCACCCAGGCCATTTGAAAAGCCTGAGGTGCCCATTTTGTTTCAAAATGGAAGATGAAGTAACCACTGAGGTGTAAGTTAATACCCTCCAGGGAGGCAGAGTTTCTTGCTAGGTAGTCAACTTCTTAATGGAACCCAGGCCCACATTATGACAACCTGAAGAGAGGGGTGGACCCAGGGCCCTCTCTAAACCCAGGGGTGTGGAGAGCCCACGCAGTAGTGCCGAGGGCACAGGCTAAATGGGCCACCTTCCCTGCCAGAGGGTGCACTGGCTCTCTTGGTTCCACTTTCCTTCCACTGGGAGCTGTTTTTCCACTCACAGCAAGTACACATTTAGAATCCCAGCTTCTCCCCAACTCAAGATTGATTCCCATGGAAACCAGCAAAGAATAGCCAGAGACAAGTGCTTTCTCCCTGGCCCTAGATGTATTAAAGAACCTCCAAGCTCTCTAAAGTCCTTGTTGAAATGGTGGCTCCATTGCACTTGTTTTTGTGGTGCTGAGACTCGAACCTAGGGCTTCAGACATGCTAGACAAGCTCTCTACCACTGACCACATCCCCCACCCCCAAAGGCACTGTTTCTCAGGGGGCTTCCTTTAGAATCCTCATGCTGTCTCCAAGTCAGCAAAACAGCCGGTGCCAGAGCGAGTTTCAAAGTGAGATCGCCCGGATCGTGAGGCCCTACTACAAGGCTTGAACGGGGGTGACCCTGGCCAAGGACCTAAACTTCTCCAAACCTCAGTGTTCTTGCACCCCTAGCCCTAAATGTGCTCTTTTATCTGATTCCTGGGCCCAACTCTCCCATAAGGCAAGCTCCACGGGAGCCAGTTTCTTCTGAACCGTATCCAGGGCAGGTACACCAGCATTCAAGCTCCGCGGCTCACTAGCTGACCTTACTAAGGCTCAATTTCCACAACTGCGAGATGGGACACTTTACGGGTTCGTTGTGAGGATTCAATGCATTTATCCCTGTTGGGCGCTTGGCGAATGCCTGGGCACAGTAGGTCCTCGCTCAGTGCTGCCTGGTGATGTTGCAGAGTCCGGACGGAGCAGGTTTGCCCTGCAAAGCCCCTGAACGCCTCAGCAACCCCACAGGTTGGAAAGACAGGGTCTGAGGGTCTGTGTCCTCGGGAGTTGAATCACCAGTGTCAGTGCCAGAACACCACCTTCCAAGGGGTGTCCCAGCCCCCAGGAAGGGGATAGGAGCACCTGTCTTACCAGGCCGAGGTTCAGGGTGTTATTGTCATCTTCGGGCATGGGCAGGTACACAGCCAGGGCCACGCAGTTGGCAAAAATGGTGAGCAAGATGATGATCTCAAAGGGTCTGGTGCCAGGGTTAAGGAGAGCCCTGAGTGAGGTGTCCAGTTTGTAGGATGGAGGAGAAGAAAGCTCTTAGGCCACAGGATCCATCCCTGCAGTCCCTTGGGTTCCCACCTGGGGACCCAGCTCCCTCCCCTCAGGAACAGGTAACTTCCTCTTAGGCTGGGGGGGGGGGGGCACGGCCGACCAAGGGGCTGGGACCTGGCTGCAAGCCAGGGTCTTACTCCTCCACTCTGAGTACCTCCCATTGCCTACTCCTGCCAAGGAACCAGGACTTCCTGAGACTGGAGCTGGGCCATCCTCTGAGGGGGTCCCTCAGAGAAATGGCCAGGAAGACTGGGGGGCAGAGGCAGGTTTAGATGAAGCTCCCACAGGGCAGACCTGGAGAGAGGGAAGAGGGAGAGATGAAATCTGAATTTTCAGAGCCCTGTGCTTGGGCCAATGTGCACAAGTGTACACACTCACACCTCAGCTCTCCCAGACCCAGGGCCCTGCCTTTCTTGACTTCCTGATCCATAAGAAAGCAAGAGTGGGAGGAGTTAGGGAAGGAGAGGGAGGGTGGGTAGTGTGTGGTTCTGGGGCAGGGCAGGAGAGGCATCCTGCAGGTGCTGCTGGGCTGGCTTGAACAACCCTATTTCCTTCCCAGAAAGCTCCAGTGTTTGAGATGAGTGGAGGCCTTGTGGCAGAGGCTTGCGACAGGAGAAGGCTTGGAGGAGGGAGGGAGAAAAGGGAGAAGCTGCCTGGTCAGCCTGCTCTGACTACAGATAGGCAGGGAGGGAGAGGCCCGGGGTCTGAAGTGGGGAGCCAAGCTGACCCTGACCCCACACTCCCTCCACATTGCCTTCTAGTGATCCCTCCTCCTTTCTTCCAAGGAACAGCTGGAGGGAGCCTGTCTTCCACAGCCCTTTAGAAATATTTCAAGCATTCCTGACCCTCTCAGAATCCGCTCACACAGGCCTCCTCTACTCTGCAACTTCTTCCTCCTTTCCCCAAATAACCCTGATATTTTCATCCTTCCTCCTCCTCTCAGAGCTCAGGCAAACATAGAAAGGGATTTGAAGTCCCTGTCCCCAGAGCAATAAGTCTGAGCCAAGGCAGCCAGGTTTGCCGGGCTTGAGTCTCGGAGCTGCTAAGGGCAGGCCTTCCTTCAAACCCAGTTCTCCGCTGGCTCTGTCTCCAGCTGGGTCCCGGCCAGGGGAAGCTTTCCCTCAACTGTCACACTCTTCACTTCCCCCTCCCATCCAGGGAGAGGGTTTTCTCAGAGAGGCTACTGCTCCCCACCCCCAACATCTTATTCCCAACTGAGACCATGGGACCAAACCCCATGGCCATGTGGCCTTGGGCACAGCTAAACAGTTCCCATGACATAGGCCCCTTGCATAGAAGATTGATGGTCTCTCTGGTCAGGGGCCCATTCAACCCCAGGCAGCCCTCCCCTCCAGCATGGTGGAGGCCTTGCTTCCGTCCCAAAGGCTCCTCAGGCCCTTCTGCGGCAGCTCAGGCCAGCCCGAGTCCCCAGTCACCCCGCCCCTCAAAGTCTGTGCTTGGTGGCCACCCCCACATCACACACAGCCCCCCACTGCCGGGCCCTGAAGGATACTTCCACTCCACGATGCTGATACAGGCCTTCCTCAGGGGGTTCTGGAGGGTCAGACAGAACAAGGCCCGGGGTGGCCTAGGCAGAATCTCAGGAACAGGCTTCTTGGGTTGTTTCTTCCTTTGGCTCTCATCCTGGGGTGAGGACGGCTCCATGGCTTCCCTGGCAACCTCGTGTTTCCCTGCTCCCCCACCCCACTGCCTTCTCCTCCCTGCGTCCCAGTGCCCCCCGCCTTGGGGACTGGGCCTGGCTGAGGCTGTCCTGCTGAGCCAGCCTGGAGAGGGCAGGACCGGGGGCGGAGGATTACTCTCTCTGCTCCCAGTGAGTAAAATTAGCCTCCACTGGCTCCCTGTTGCCCAGCCTGAGCTCCTGAGGCCAGGCAGCTGTCACTCCTTCCAGCCCAGCCACTGACATCCCAATTTGTCCCCTGAGGAGGGTGGGGGCTGGGAAAGGAACTTACACACTGGCCTGGGATGAAACAGAGGCACTGGGAGACAGGATGCAAGGTTTCAAGGCTGGGGCAAAAGAGATCAGAAAGGGGGAGCCTAAGGGGTGGAGTCTCAAACTTCAGACAGGGCCCCTGTGACACTGTCCCAGGAAGGTACGGCATGGCCCAGCTCAACAGGCTCCGCGGCGCCCTCCACGGCCCCATCTCCGCACTGCAGAGATCTGTGAGACTCCTCATCCCCTCATCTCCGTCAGGGAACAGTGAGCCCCTCCCTGGGGCTGAAGACTCCCAGGACGACCTTGAGTGTCACTGCTGACCTGCCACCTGCCGCACTTCACAGGGACCCTACGCTTCCTCCCACCGCTGCCTGCACAAGAGTCTGAGACTCTGCACCCTCCTGCATGTGGGCCTTCCGAGTGTACTGAGAGCTCTGCAAATGTTATTAAATGAATGCATGAGCTAAGAGGACAGCCCCACACCCTGGCACCAGTGCTCTGAGCTGAGGGAGAACGAGAAAGGATCGGGGAATGGGGGTTAGCAGAGACAGTGGTCTGGGAATCACGACAGTCCTTTTATTTAGCCCTCAGGTGCAAACAGCGCCAACCGGACCCCAGAGGCTTGCAAGCCTTAGGGCAAAAACTGCACTCAGCCTAGGAAAACCCCCGAGAAGCCACCCGGAGGGCTGGGGTACGTGTGTGAGGGTTCGATCGCCCTCCCTCAGAGAACCAGAGACCCGTGAGTGGACACACGTGGCCTCCTTCCGAGAATGTCCGTTCCTGCGGTGCGGGGCTCCTCTCTCGAGGGGCCGGCGGGCTCCCTGCGCGGTCGCGAGCCTCGGAGGCCATCTGGTGGAGGGCCGCAGCACGGCGCCTCCGAACTGGAGCGCGGCTGGCGTCCCGGGGACTCGCAGAGAACCGAGCAGAGCCTCTGGAGCCAGGCTGGGCGCGGACTTTCCTCCAGGCAGCTGAGGCCGAGCAGGAGCGCCAGCCAGGGCACCTCAGTCCCGGGTGCCCCCGCCGCGCGCGCGCCGAGCTGTCCCAGGCCGGGCCCCCAGCACGCTCTCGGGGGTGCTCGCGGCTCCACCGGGGCTCTGTCCGACACCTCGGGCCCAAGCGGAGCCCCAACATTTAGGGCTCTGCCCCGAGGCTGGGGCGGGGCTCGCGGATCCCCAGAGGCCAGGGCGGCCACCGGCCCGATCAGTGGCTGGATTCCTCTGACTCGAAGAAAGGAGAGGAGGAGAAGCGGGAGGACGCGGGCGGCTCGGGCACCAGCGAGGGCGGCGCCCCGGCCTCGCCGTCGCCGAGGCAGTCGGGCTGGGAGCCGCCGGGCGGCGCGGGGGGCCCGGAGCCCGGGGTGCCGTCCGGGGCCGCGCTCAGCAGCTCCTGCAGGTACTTGATGTAGCGGATGGCGGCGCGCAGCGTCTCCACCTTGCTGAGCCGCTTCTCGGCCAGGGCGCCGGGCAGGTGGCCGCGGAGGCGCGCGTAGCCCTCGTTGACGCACTTGACGCGCTGCCGCTCGCGCTCATTGCGCTTCTGGATGAAGGCGGGCTCGAAGGGGCAGTCGTAGACCCCGAAGGCGCCGGGGAAGGGCACGCAGGGCAGCACCCCAGCGTAGCCGTCGTAGTAAGGCGGCTCGGCGGGCGCCGGGTACAGCAGGAAGGGCACGCTGCCCAGGGGCTCGGCGGGGGCCAGCGGCCCCTGCCCGGCCGGGGGCACGACGCCCAGCTGCATGCAGCTAGGGGGCCCCGCGGGCCTCCGGTCCACCAGGGCCCGGCAGAAGTTACTGTTCATGGTGCCGCGGGGAGCCGGGCCCAGAGTGAGATGGTCCCGAGTGGCCCCTGGTGGGGGTCTGCCCGCTTCTGACTACGGGGCCGAGTCGCATCGCCAGCAGCACCTCTGCAGCACGTGCTAGGGCCTCTCTTTGACCTTTGAGGTGGCTTCAGGGGACTCTCTAACGCGAGCCATTGCTCTGGAGAAACTCGGCGGGCCCTCACAGTGCCTCAGCGGACACAATTTCCAACCCCGCTCGCTCTTGGTGCTGCGGATCTCGGAAGGCCTTCACCCTACTCCGCGAGTTCACGGGCAGGCGGTGGGGCTGTGGGCCCTGCCTCCCGCAGCCCAGCGTGGGTACCTCCCGCAGGCACTAGCCGCCAGCCTCCATGAGGGGGTGCGTAGGGGGACCCCTGGTGGCCTTCGGGATCCCTAGGCTGCTGTCAGGAAGGCATCAGCTCAGCAGATGGGGTCTGGAGGAACGTTTCTAGAAAGAGGAGAGGGAGAGTATCGATTAAGAAAGGCCTGTGAGGGGAGGTAGTGTGGCTGCTGGGGCGGCCTGGATCAGGGCTCCAATCACCCCTTAATAGTTGGGTGGACCTCCTTGAGCCGCGGTTTCCACAGATGAAATCATTGAAAGCATCCTTCACAGAGATCAGTAAGATATGAGAATCAAGTAGGAAAAAGTGTATCCCAAACACCTCCTACTGGATCTGGCTGAAACAGTATCCAAAGTTCCCTCTCAGCCTTTTTGCTAAGATCAAGTATAAAAATGCCCAGTGATGTCATTTCCTTTGAGAATTCAGGTTGGGTTTCGTCACCGATACCTTCTGGGGTCTAACATTTAAAGGGGGCTCAGAAGTGGCCTATTGGCAGTTGGGACTGCAGCAGCAGTCACATGTAACCCTCATCACAAGACACTCTGCAGTGTCGCACTCCCAAAGCCCTCTGCCTGGCAGAGAGAGGATGGCCAACACCTTCCCTGCCCAGCCCTCGTAGTCCCTCTTCCTTGGCTCTCTTCCTTGGCTCTTCCCAGAGCCAAGGGTTTATTCTTGCACTGCTGCCCAGAGCCCAGCCCAGCCCCTGGCAAGTAATAATGTTCCACAAATCCTTGCTGAATAACAGAGAGTTGGGCTTGTCAGGGTGGCACTTAATTACATGTCGCCTTTCCCAGGTTTTAGGAAGCTGTTATTTCAGAAATAATTGGTCTGTGTGAGTTTAGGTGCCACTAGGCCTCGCCACTGGTGGTTGTCAGCTCCAGGTCAAGTGTCATTGCTTCAAGGGAGCTGCTCTGCTTCTGTTCACCTCTCTTGTGTGTGTCCACAGTGTCCCTAAGTGCCATCTTAACACTCGTCACACTATTACTGTTCCCTTGATTACTGAGTGAATGAGCGGGTACTGCATCCCACAGTGATGGGCAGTGAGGGCCTGGCTTCTCTGTGAGACACAAAGGAGCCAGCTCTCTCCCTGATGGGTAGGTAAGTGGCAAACTCAGATTCCCAGGACTGTCTCCTGTGCCTCCCTCCTTTGTCCTTTTCGCAGACCTTGAGTCTGTTCTCAGCTAGCTTTGTCTTCCATGCTGAACAAGAACCAAAAAATATCAACAAGGATTCAAAGCCTTGTGGAACTTGGGCTTGCTCTCAAGTGGAAGAATATGCAGAAACATCAGGACCAATTCGTATGTGCCTCCTCTTCTCCACAGCTTTTGAGGGCTCCTCATTGTTTTTTTTGTTCGGTTTTTTTTTTGGTACTGGGGATCGAACTTGGGACCTTGCACTTGTGAGGCAGGCAGCACCACCACTGAGCTAAATCCCTGGCCCTCCTCATTGTTTTTAAGAGAAGGTTCTAAGGGGCTGGGGATTTAGCTCAATGGTGCCACCACCTGATCCGCAAGTGCAAGGTCCTGAGTTTGATCCCTGGTACAAAACAAAACAAAACAAAATCCTAAAGCATATCCTAAAAAGAGAAGGTTCTACAAGGTTTCTTCTCCCAAAAGGATACTTGTTTCCATTAGGACACTGATATTCCCGATTCTCTGCTTATTCCTCACTCACACTGAACTCCAACTCTGGCTTTGGGGCCCTCTGTACACCTCTCTGTCATCCACAGGGAAGGGCACAGATACAGCTTCTGCCACGCTGCTGAGCTTTCTTGCTCCTACAAGGGGCTTTCAAGGCTGCAAGTTCTGATTCACCTACAGCATCCAGAGGGCAGGCGCTGGGCCTCTGCCGTCTTGGCACCCCATCCCAGACTTCCTCGCTCAGTACTGGGCTCTAAAGTCTGTTCAGAATACTTGCCAGCAGTGCTATTCTGTAACCATGTGAGATCCAGACTCTTCTCCCCAACACATTGCCCATCTGCTCATAGTTGACTTACTTTTAAAAATTTGATCTGATAGAGGTCAGAAATGTATTTACATTATGACAATTTTAATAAACATAACCTCTGCTCATGTTTCTGCATTCATGGCTTACTTATTTTTTAATTAAATAACCCATATACTATTTACATGTTTTCATAAAACTGGCTCAGGCCAAAAGCTTCACAGAGGAACCGTGTGTCTCTCTATGTCTTGTCTTCACCATTAAAACAGAATGGATAACTTGCCAGGGAGAAGAGGTCGGAACGCACCTGGGAGTGAATAGGTTCTTCCCGGTCACAGACCCTCTGCCCCGTCCCTAAGCCGAGGGAAGCAACGCAGCCCGTCATTACTGCGCAGCATGATACCGAGCAGAAATACACTGAGGGCCTTCCACAGGCAGGGACCGACCAGTACTGGTATTACCCAGTCACACACACTGTCATGACATACCTGTAATCACAGCTACTGCTTATTATTTATGACATGCAAGACACTGCTAATGCTGTATATGAATCATCTCATTGATTCTCACACCATTCTGTTCGCATTATCCAGTTTCACAGGTGAAAAAACAGAGGTGCCTAAAGGTTAAGTCAGTTGCCCAAGGTGCCATGGTTAAAATAATCATGAACTAAGAAATAGTGAACAACTTTCTCTTCTCACCCCAATATTTTTCCTAGTGGCTTCGCCCCTGATCAAAGAATCAGAAAGGTTTGCATCAATCTAACAAAAAGATCTTAGTAAATTATGATTCCTGTTGGAGAGAAGTCCCACTGCAGAACAAGGATTTGGTGCTGGTATTTAGTTCTGCTGCTGCAAGAGGGGTATTGCAGGTCACCTTGGTTATCCTTGGGAAGGTAATACTCCCTGGAAGATGTTCTTACCAGGGTGGCTCTTGGAGTCCTGTGGCTGGGACAAGGACTGAGTCAAGCACCAGGAGCTTCCCCACTGGTAGCCCCTTGCCTAAGCTTGAAAACTGAAGTGGATTCCCTGGCAGGGCGGTGTCAGCAGCCTATAGGCTCAGTTCACTTGCCAGAGTAGACCCTGTTGTCGACAGCGCCACAGTGTGGTGGGGAGAAGCAATTGCAGTAGCAGACCGGTGAGATTGCGGGTCCTGACCCCATGGGAGGAGCGCGTGGAAGTTGTAACTCCTTGTTACGACTCCCGGTGTTGTAACTCCTGGGACTCTAACTCCCGGATGTTATGGAAAATTCAGGGTAAGGGAGGACCCTCAAGAAAGAGCTACTGGGCTTTCTGCCAACATCTACTAATTTTTTCCCTTGAGTTTGTGAAGGAATTCACATTAAATTTTCCTTATATACAGATAGATAAAATAAGTATAATTAAATGTACTTAAAAAATAAAAAGAGTGCCTTATTTCAGTATTAGGCAACTTGCAGGATAGAAGGGGGTCTAAAATAGCACATAGCAGCCTTCTCCCTACACATTAACCTCAGTGGCCACTCCTGAGAGAATCTGGTCTGCTTTCCCCCGGGGGGGTGGGGGGGTGGAGCAGGTCAGGGGTGTCCAGGGTGGGCGGGAGGTGCCTGATGTCCTCCCACATGGCTTTCTCTTCATGCCCATGACATGGGCACAGTTGTGCCCCATACAGCTACTACTTGGTGGGGGATTAGCTGTCACCAGACATTGTACAATGAACTTCATAATCTTCAATCCACCGTGCAACAGAGCCGTAAATTGGCAGTTGTGTGTGGGGTTCCCTGGGGCCTTGATCCCAGTGCCTTCCGCTTCTAATTGTGCAGCCTGTAACGTCTGCCTCACCAGCACTAGCCCCTTCCTGTCGCATGATGCTGGAGGCTGTAATTGCAACCCCTCCTGCAGGACAGTGGCATGCTATTATAACCCACTGGAGATGGCTGAGTTTTTTTTGTTTTTTGGGTTTTTTTTTTTTTTACAACTAGCCTGCTGATCCTTGTCCCAGCCCTCTGCTGAGTGCCCTGTGTTTACCAGGCTCCCTTTCCCCAGTCTTATATTCCTACTGGCCAACAAGCAGCCTAAGAGACCCCTGCCCAGGGCTCTTCCTGCACTTCACCCAGCCCTGGTGGCAAACTGTAAGCCCAAGAACTCCTGTCTTTGAAGGACACTTTGTCTTTGAGACATACAATTCAGGCTCAATACGTGTCTGTTGAATGACATTGGTGGGACCCCCTAGGGAGGCTGAACTGTTCATTCAGCAAAGGCAGATAAGGTCTTTGAATCAGCGGGATCATTTAAAGAACAGACAACATAATTTCCTTTCTGAGTCCTCCTCCCTGTTTTCAATGGGGCTGCAGCCAGAATTTAGAGGTCTGGGGTCAGAAATTGGCTGAACTTGTCCCCTCCGACAGGAAACTCATGGCCCCAAAGTGGCTCGGAGGAAGTGTCCCTCTGCTTCTCTGTCCCTCTGTTTCTCCTGCCCCCAGAAAGGTCCTCCATGGGTGCTCAGCACACAGTGCTGCCTTTTGACAGCAGTGAGCGCTCCTGGGCCTCCTGTCCACCTCTGCTGCCAAAGCCCAGAAGGACTTGAAGCAACGGCACCAGCTTTGTGGCATTGCTTCACACATCCTCCTGCCCCCAGGTTGGGTGGTCACTAAAACCTTTCCCCAACCCACTGCTCAGTCAAACACTGGAAGCAACATCACTGGTAGGCACCCTCCTG